AGAGAGAGAGAGAGAGAGAGAGAGAGAGAGAGAGAGAGAATAGAACAGGACGCCACTGCTGCAGGCTACACACAACTAATCAATTCTCCCTTTTCCCCTTTTATTTTGCTCTTGCTGGAATCGCACACAATAACCTTTGGCTGGCTGAAACCTGATACTTTTAATCATGGCCTATTGACGTTCACAAAGAAGAAACCGCAGGAAATGATCACTTAAATCAGGGTTATTTTAAGGTAGCTTAAATATATCTATTTATATCGCGTAAAACAGGTGCACACTGATTTCTCAGTTGCTGAGAAACACTAATTACGACCACTGTCAGTGTCGTTTGTTTTAATGCAGATTTCATTTTATTGTTATTGGTGTGAAGGTGTCTTTTTACCTCTGGAAATTCAACACTTGACTCGAAGTAATAGTCAGACATTCTAGGCATTTGTTCGTCAACTGCAGGATGTAGCCCTCCAACAGCCACATCTACTCCTAGCTTCATCGGATCAGGGCAAAAATCTTGGAGGTCCCGTGTGCAAATTGCGCACATTAAAGATCCCTTGGCGGTACTAAAATCGATAAGAGTAGGCTTCGCCGTCACCAGGGCAAAATTCAAAATTCCTACCAAAACTGAAAATGTTTAATGTGTCTCGCGCTCTCATATGACCTCATGCAGTGGTGAACGCCGTAAAACACTTACCCCCCCAAAAAAAACAAACAAACAAAAAAAACAATAAAAAACCCCACATAAATTCTAGATCTAGATATCTAAATAAAAAAATAAGTAAAAAATAAAGATTAAGAAAAAACAAAACAAAACAACAACAAACAGACGACACTAAAAAACGCAATGCTTTTAAAAAAAGCTATAAGACTATAAGAAAGCCAAATAGGCTCTGATCGCCATGTTTTTTAAACAGGTCAGTTGTAAAAGTTGTGAATTCACACGCCCATTCACGATTTTTGTTACTTTCAAGAGTACTTTTCATTGCAGTACAGTGATCCGTGCTTTGGTAAATGTGTTAATAAGACGCAATATTACTCGTGAAAAGAATTAATTAACTTAGAAGATGATAAGTGGCTCTTTTCAAGCAAGAGTCCCGACATTTTTGCGATCAGTTTTGATTTTTCTTTCATTACAAGACGCCTCAACTTAGAGAAGCTAACGGCAAGTTTCGCAGCCGCCTAGTTCAAGGCGGAAAATCTGCCCAAGAAGCAGCAAGACGACTAAAATACAGTACGTGCATTGAAACTCGACGCATCCAAAAATTTTAGCACACTTGCAATGTCCAGGATGGTCAAAGAATAGGACAGCCTCGAGTGACCAGCCCTTTTCAGGACAGCTAGATTTTACTGTCACATTTGTGGAATCGTTTCCTTCTGGCCAAAGTAACACCTCAAGGAATGCAAGGAGTGCGTGAACATGTTTCTTCCATTTATGGGAGGCGCCGAGTAAATAGTCCAGAACTTAGAGCAAGAACGCCTTATTTAGAACTGTATTACCTGTCCTGGGCAACAACGTCATTGCGCACCGGACAGGTCCATAAGTGCTCAGTTCCTCTCAACACCAAAGACCGCAAGGTATCCATACGGATTGTTCCAGTGGCTGTCTGATTATGGCGACGTCTTTCCTTTCCAGATAACCGTTCCTTTCTTCCTTCTCCCCTCTCTATCCCCATTTCCCGCATCCCGGACAATGTTCCCATGCCGGGAATCGAACCCAGGCCGCCTGGGTGAAAACCAGGAATCCTAACCACTAAAATGTGAGCTAAAGAAACATGATATTCTTTTATAATTTGTAATAGTGATCCTGCTTCCCATTTATTACAAAACAGGGAAACTTAAACACATACTGTTTTCTGGCATCATTATGAACATTGAGTTTCAACCGAATACAATTTCAACTGCCAGGCGAATGCATCAAATTGCTCAATAGCGGGTATGGCTACCATTAGCTAAGATAACTGCAGCGTATTTCCGTTACATGGAAGCCACTAGATTGTTGGTAACCAGTAACAGGATCTGCCTCCCTATCTCATAGAAGGCCATTTCCAGTTTCGGCACGGTTCTCGGCCTTAGTTATTCCCCCTCGATACGCTGGACGTGGCCATCTAGATCAGCGCTTGCCAACCTAGTCGTTCTGGTGGGCGCTGGTTAATTTGGTGGACGGTGAAGATAACCCGGGTAGTGAAACATATTATGTAATGCCCCGATTGGAAAACCAGTTTGGTGTGCCGTATCAAAATTCTATCCTCTTAAACTTAAAGGGGCAAAAGTGGGTGCTAGCTATAAAAAGCACTGTTTAAAAACAACAACAAGAAACCCCTTAAAACAAACAAACAAAACAAGCATGTAGACACAAAACAAACCTGCCCCACCCAGAGAGAAAAGAGCGCGGGACTCACCTCTGTAGTTGCACTGGCACGGGTCGTGTTTGTTGAGGTAGTTTTCCAAGGTGTCCCACCCTCCTCCGACTCGGACCATCACGTGGTTTCGAAGAATCTGAAAGATAACAATTATTATAAATTATACATGATAAACGGCATTTGCATTCCCTCCTATCAGCAAGCTCTATGCGCTTTAAACCTATACTATTACCCCAGTAGACCTTGGAACCCTCAGAAACATTCTCGGACTTCTGGGAAGCAGCTGGTTAAGGCCACACGCTATTTTATGGCATCAAAATCTAATTTAACTAGTTATTTTTACTTGTTTTTCTCATTTTCTCAATGCATTACCTGTAAGGATAAAAAATGTTCTGTTTTATGAATCATTATCAGTTTCATAGTCATGAAAATATCAAACTGGAGCGAAACCAGGCTACCTAAAGGACCTTTTTCAAAAGCCAAAAACTAAATAATTATCCATGTTCTAAGAAATAGTTACACATTTGTAATTCGTACTCTACCTATTTTTGAATTTGTACGAATAACAGCAAACAACCTAGCCACCAGACCACTGACTCCACTAAGCGACAGCATCGGAGTAGGATCGCACGATCACTTCCACACTACATGGATAGAATTAGACCTAGAAGATAGCAATAATTCGCAGGGGAAGGAACGAAAGGTGCGCAAGATTTATGTTGTGACACACTGAGTCCAACTGTTTAATAACGTGCCACTTTTATTTTTGCGACAATTGGATATTTGAATGTTCCTTTTAAGGTAGGCCCTACCTCTAAAAACAAAGAAGTAAAGATATTTTTAAAAAGTTTTTTACCATCTAGCACAAGGCTATTGTCAAAATAACCATCGATGTGTATTCTTCTTTCGAGGGTGTATCTATACAACTCTTCATATCTTGTAATTAAATTCCTGCAAGTGGTTGAATGATGCATATTATTATAATGTGGTATGAACATTTGGTCAGCTATACTTTTCTTTTCATATTGAATTTTTATTTATACCTGCATGTGTTATTTTGGTCCTGTACAGCCAACAAAAATCTCCCTCTGGGATAAAAAAGTATAATCTTATCTTATCCTATCTTATCTTATTAAGAAACTATAGGTCACAATTTACAGTTTTCTTTGGGTGTTTTTGGTTCGTTTTGTTGTTGTTGTTGTTGTTGTTTTTAAAAATACAAATGCTTACTATTTGGGGGGTTTTCCCATTTTTTCTTCCAGCTTTAATTCGTAAACCTCATTTTAAAACTAAAATAATAATCTAGTAACAGTAATAAATTCTATAATTTTTTTTGCTTTTTCCTCCACAGCCTTCACAAATTCATGCTCTCTCTGATCGTTCGGGAATTAAGACAAAGAAAAAGAAACACAGAGGCCAGTTTGTTCCGGTCGAAAGTAACACCATTTTCTGTGCAGGTGTTATAGTCAAACAGAGGGACAAGCAGAACAAAGGGCAAGTAAAGAAATAGTGACTGTTGATTAAATTGAATAACACAAACTTATGAAATGAGTAGCTAAATATAACTTGTTCACTTTCGCCTGACCGCGGTTAAAAGAGGACAAAATGAAATAGCTCCGTTTAATTTTCTCAGATCTTTGCATACGGGTCTAAAAGTTGGATGACTAACAGATTCTAAAAGCCCATTCATAAAGGTCACTGCAAACTAAGGTTCCGACACGTTCTCTATTGCTAGCTTAAAGCGGATAAAAAAATAATAGGGGATTTACAGCATACAATTAAAACATTAAAAAGTGGACCCATTTTCGAGACTCACGATGAACCCGTGAAGAGGGCGGGTTCGCTGTCTCTAAATGAGCAGTTTGTGGGCAAGATTACTGTAATGTACCTCTGTCAGGTCTTTTGAGTTGAGTGAAAAAATGTGGGGAGTTCTGGGGCCTTGTCGAGTCCGGAGACAGTTTGGTTGTCTGTGCGCGCTGTGTCAGTTTGGTATGTAACACAGGAGATTTGAGCAACAGTTGCGTTGCCGGAAAGTTGTGACAAAAACCCGAGTTGCCTGTGTGCGCGGTGCTTATCTATTTCATTGTTTACATTTGGGTGAGAAAAGTTGCGCAACTAAATTTACCCTGTGCGAGCCTAGCCTTACGGTAAGTCATTTATTTTAATGATCCTGTGTGAGCATTGAGAGCGTAGTTTTTAATATAGGGCCTAATGGGAATTTTTCATTACTGGATCAAGATTTTGTGAATTAAATATTTTTGTTTGGTCGCTGGCCTGCCATGTTAAGTTTCGTGGGCATTGGTAAAATCAATAAATGAACTAGTATCTTTTTAACGTAGACAGGCAAAAGTGAAAATGATAATAATATAAATATTATATTATAAATGATGTTTTTCTCATATTTACCCGAACAAAAATAAGACTGCGGGAATCCCCAATCTTGTACTTTCCCTCTCCGACCTTGATCATGGGGAACTGTACGGGGCACGTGCATCGGCCGATGAGGTCCCGAACCTGTGATGGAAAGAAGTTATCTTTACAAATATTATCTATAGAAGAATCCAGTTTCTATTTGTAAAGTACAGCTAATAAATTAAAAACGAAATAAACTGAGAAACAAGTTAGTCGTCGAAATAATAAGACAATAAACATTATTGAAACAACAACAATAACCACCACAACAAAAACAAAAATAGAGGGCTCTCGTGGCCTTAGAGGTAAAGGCGTTCGCATCTCATTCAATAGGTTAAGGGTTCAAATCCGGACAGCGACGAAACATTTTCTCCTCTAAAACTGTTCTCCTTTCGCATCCTCTCCTGCTCTCTAACAATGTTCTGCCGTCTGCTTTCGTCTCCACTTTCTGCCCCCACCCCCTCACCTCCTGTGCCCCCTCCTCGGGGCTCCTGACTCTTCTTCAGCCTATCTATTGCTACTCCTAGGCTCCTTCTTACTGCTGTCTTTCAGCCACACTCCTGATCTATGGTAGGTAAGATCTACACCTAGCCTTCTCGGACAAGGGTGCAAATTCTCGGAGGTAACATGTGCAAGTTACGCACGTTAAAGATCCCTTGGTGGTTCAAAATCGATATGAGTAGGCTTCGGCCGCCACCCGGGCAAAATGCTAAATTTCCTACTAACTGAAAATGTTTGGTGTGTCCAACGCGCTCATATGACCTTGTGCAGTTGCGAACGCCGTAAAACACTTACAAAAACAAAACAAAACAAAACAACAAGAACACCAATCATAATGATTATGAGACTACAACAACTTCTGCTGACCGAGCAGAGTTATTTCGTTTGGACTTGGCATCATAACACAAACGGGGAGGTAATCGTGCTTTTCCCCAAATAAAAAGATTCCAAGAGTTACCTCCATAGATTATTTTTCAGAACAGACTCTCCCCCTTCCTGTCTCTGTTATTGCCCGATCCCCTGCCCCGTTATCTTTTTATCTTTTAAATTCAAGGACAACACAAAATGGCCGTGTGAATTTTTTTTTCTAATTACCCC